ATAACCCAGCCTGGGCCATTTATCAAGACCCTGTCTCAAAAAAAAAAAAAAGGAAAAGTCTGGGGATGTAGCTCAGTGCACGTTCAATCCCCTGTACAAAAAAAGAAAAAGAAAAGGAAGGAAGGGAGGGAGGGAGGAAGAAATAAAGAAAGATGGGAACAATATGGAGGCGCAGACAGCATAGTTTCTGGCCTCTGTGGCTGTGCCACTCTTCCACTCTGGGGGTTGGGGTGCTGAGTAGGGCAGGGACCTTGGAGAGCTCAGTACTGGGCTCTCTGATTCTCTGTACCTCTGAACCTAGCATCCCAAGATCCTGAACGTCTGTAACTCTGAGCTTCCTTTCTTCTGATTTGTTTTTCTAAGCACCATCTGGAAACTGTTTCTAAAAACGCTCAAGGCTGGGTTTGGAGAGGGTGGAAACTGTGGCAGAGACCTGGCCTGTTTGCCTGGTTCATTTTCTCCCATTTCCTTTAGCTCAGGGAAGGTGGCTTTTCCTGTGCCTGTCCTTCCCCTGCAGCCTCCAGTCCTCCACACTGTCACCCTCGGCCTCCCTGCTTCCCTAGCCTCTGTGCACCTGCTCCTGCCTGAGGCAGGGCCACTTGATCTGAGGATTTCCCCCAGCCAGGGTGGAATTTCCTTCTGGTTTGATTTCCAGTTCTCTAATGTCTCCTTGTGCCACTCTGCATGTCCTTCACTGTCCCTGCAGATCCGGCCTTCACAAGTCTCTCAGGGAGGCCGCCTGGCCCAGGGAACCCACACTGTATTCAGAGACTTGGGGTCACATGCTGCATCCACCCTGACAGCTGCGTGACCAGGCGGGTCCTGGACACGGTCATGAGACAGGAGGAGGAACATCGGCCTGGTGGGGTGGAAAGGCTATGTCCTGTGCATGGGGAGCTCCTGGTCAGGGTGGGGAGACAACCGCTCAGTAAAGACAAAGCAGGTCAAGTCCTGTTGGGGCCTAGGGAGATGCAGGGACCTGAGTGTGTGCTTGGAGATGTCCTGTCCCTCCTGAGACAGTTTCTTCATCTGTAGATGCTCAGGCTACCTGGGATGTGAGGTCTTCAGGAGCACACCCAGGCCCCTTTCCCATCGAACCCCGACGCTGCCTGCTCCTCACTCCTCCCCTCATTTGGGACCTTTTGGCAGATTCTGGGGCTGTGTCTTCGGCAGATGCTCAACATCCCCCCCGCCTTCTTCCCATCCCTGCTGCCTGTGCCAGTCCCAAGTCCTCACCTTCGTGGCCTGGACACTGTTGGAGTTCCTGGGGGTCTTCTTTCCGGGCTGCTTGGGTGATTCTGTCCATACCTAAGTCAGATCAGGCCATTCAACTGGTTGCTCTAAAGTATGCTGCGCTCCTGAACTCACCCTGACCTTCACGGCCCTGGAAACCAGCTTCTGCCTCCCTCAGCAACCTCACTTCCTAGGTGTCACCCCCTCACTCCCTCTGCTCCAGCCACACTGGCCTCTGTCTGCTTCTCAACGCACTGAGCTTATTGCACCCCAGGGCCTTTGTACTTGTTCCTCACTGTAGCTGAGCATCTGCTCAAAGGCCACTGTGTCAGAGGCCCTGGGGGCCATCCAGCCTGTTTCCTCTTGACTTCTGTACACTAAAGCCACAGTCCTCACCCCAGTCCCATGGCCCTGTCCCTGTCATTGCTCCACCACCCACCTCCCCACCCACCATGTGAGGCCTCTTCCCACCTCTAGGCATCATGCTTTGGTTCCTGAGCCAGAACTCACCTCCCCTAGCCAAGCAGGGCTGGCTCCCTCCCTGCTTACCACTGCCCCCTCTGCTGGCTCAGCAGGGTCCCCCTGTGTCCCTTGCCTTGCAAGGCCTCCCTAGAGCCTCAGGGTGGCACCAGCTCCCATGCTGTCACCTCCCCTGACCAGTGTGGCAGCCAGGGATCAGGAGGTTAAATCACACACCCAGGTCACCTGAACAGACTCCACAGGAGGGCATCAGGAACCCGGCTAGCCTCTGTGCTTCTCCTGGCACAGTGCTGGGCACCGAGACTCCTGTGGCCAGGGGTGAGAGACCACAGCCGGCATCTGCTGGTGCTACCGAGAGTGTGTGGCCTGCGCAGTCCCTTGGGATGTGGTGACCTTGCTCCTCACCCTCCTGGGGACACACCATCTCTGGCACTTTCCTCCTGGCCTCTCCAAGGACTTTCTGCTTTGTCTCCCAAGAGGGCCCAATCTTCTGTTTTGTTTTTGTTTTTGTTTTGAGACAAGGTCTCACCGTGCAGTCCAGGCTGGCCTCGAACTTGCTTTGGGAAGGGATCCCCTCTTGCTCCCACCTCTCAGTCCAGGAGCAGGTGACTGTTTGGAAGTGTTGCTCAGGAGCGGCCTTCTGGTATTGATCCTTCTTTTCTGGGGCCTCTGGAAAAGGAGAGGCCCCTAATGAAGCTCCTACTAGGCAGGCCTCTTGGCTGGGCTAGAGCTCAGGGTGGAACATGTGCATGGTGTGTATGAGGCCCTGGGTTTATCACACACATTTAGATTAATTCTCCTCTGAGGAGAGCCATGTGCAGCTTCATTTTTAAGGGAGGATGGGACAAAATAAAATTTATTTTAAAAAAAAGCCTTTTCTATTGTGCTGGTTTGGTGGCATCTAGTGGCATGGACTGGGCCTCGAAACCTGACCTGGCAGTTTTCTGGTAGGAACTTGGGACTCGTGATTCCCCAAGTTCAAATTCGCAGTGCACAGGGGCTGAATGGTGGTTGGCCCAGGCAGGTGCAGGGGCGGCCTCTGCCTGCCGGTGTCCAGAGCCTGTCTGGCCTGCCTGAGTATGAAGTCCCTTTGACAGTGACTCTCAAGTCCTGGCTTTGTGTCACTCCCCTCCCGTGCCCCTGAGCACCAGACTGGACTTGAGTCTCAATTGGTCACACTTGTGCTGCGCTCCCGTCTTTGGCAATGCTGGTCCTGCATCTCTGGCTGTGCCACCCTCTCTTGACCTGAGGCGGAGCGTCAGTTTGGCCAGTGGAAAGGAGACCTGGCTCCAGCCTAGGCTGTGCTGTCAACATCAGAGTCACATTTACTCTGAGTCTCCGTTCCCTTCAGTGTCCACTGGGAACCCTACAAATTGCCTTCCTGGCTCTGTGGGCTGAGGGGAGGGTGCAGAGCCTGCAGAAATGCTCCCTGGCTAGTCCAGGATGCAACCTCAGAACCCTCTTCCCCTTTTATTAAGTTGTGGCCAACTTTGCCTGCTATACAAGTCACCTTTCGGAAGTTTGTAATTCAACAGTGTTTAGTGCATTCACAGTGCCGTGCAGCCACCTCCTTTCTGTGGCTGAGACCCTTTCGTCAGCATAAAAACAGCCTGTGCTCTTCGGGCGATTGCTCCCACCCCCCACCCCCCTACCCACTAGCCTGCTTTCTCTCTATTTTGGCCACCCATGAACACAGCACAGATAAGCAACTACACAGCCCATGATCTCTTTTGTCTGGCTTCTTTTTGAGGTGCTAGGGCCAAACCAAGCTCCTCGTACATGCTAGGCACACGCTGGACTGGAGCGCCACCCCAGCACTTTGTGCCTGCCTTCTACTGCAGGGTTTCCTTTCACTTGGTCTGGCGTCCGTCTTCCTGTATCAGTGCTCCATTCTTTTTTTTTGGTACCGGGGATCGAACTTGGGTCCTTGCGCTTGCAAGGCAGGCGGCGGAACCGCTGAGTTAAATCCCTGGCCTTCTCCATTCTTTTTTTATGGCTGAATAATAATCTTTGAGTGGAGGAGCCACAATTTCTTTCTCCATTTTTCCTGGTGCCCATTTGGGTCCAAATCCTCCTTTTGGACTCAGTGTCCTGAACCAGTAGTCTCCAAACTTTGGTTCCAAAATTTGCCCTCCTTTCAAGAAAGATGTTCATCAGTCTTCCCATGAAATGTAGATCTGTTTGTTTTATATGCATTAGTACTGCACTCATATGTCCTGGACAAGATAAAATCTGGGTCAAGTATAGTCGTGCATTGCTTAGCAGTGGGAACACAGCCTGAGCACGCCATAGGCCACTCTGTCACTATGCAGATGTCAGAGTTGCTCACACAAACCAGGGCAACACGCCAGTCTCATGGGTCCACCATCATCGCTGTCCATCGCTGACCAGAGCATCACAGTGGCACGTGACTGTCTAGACATCGGCAGTAGATAAGGTTAGGAAATGACGCTGACGGCGCTGCTCACGTCCTCTCCCCGCACCCGCAGTCCTCCTGGGTGGCCACTGTGGTGGAAAGCGTACCCGGCTCATCCTAATTTTAGTAGAGAAAATGGAAAGTGAAGATGGGTAGATATGGGCTATAGCTGTCTCTTCCTGCCTCCACCTCCAGCTTGTCACAGGGCTGACATTTCTTGAGCATGTGTCCCTTGGCTCAGGGACTCCTGTCGCAGGGGGAAGATCTGAATGAGCCTGCAGGATTGTGACTACTGTGACTTTTTTTTTTTTTTTTTTTTTTTTTT